TACTTCAAGTCTCAAACGAGGAACGAGGGGTCGTATTTGTTGACGCGGCTTCCTACGCCAATGGGAAAGCGTTTGTGGCAGTGGTAGTCGATGGGGCTGGCCATGTCATCAACTCAGCGACGGTCAGGACGAAAGACCCAATCATTGCGGAACAAGTGGCCATCGCCTTAGCACTCAAGATGGATAACATTGAAATCGTCTACAGTGATTCCATGGCAACACTACGGACGTTCGCCAAGGGGACGGTCTGTGAACAAACGCTGAAAATACTGCAAGGCAAGAACATAACACATCATCTTCTGAGTTGGTTCTCAGGTCACCTTGGACAAATCAGCGATTCCTCTCCCTATCTCAACGAAGCAGCACACGAGGCGGCGCGAGAACTCTCCAACCGCGCCTCCCCGGGGATACGTTCTACCGGTGAAGGGGATAACCGGGAAATTCTTACAACATATAACGAGCTCACTAAACATTTCTATCTGTCTAGAAGGATTTTCCCTCCACCTCACAAAAATATAACCCGGCCTCAAGCACTTACATAAAGGCTTTTGCAAACGCGGATGTACCCTACTTTGAAAATGTTACACATCATGTGCCCTGACCTATACCCAAGTAATCTTTGTCCACGTTGTGGGGAAATAGCTTCATTAGAACACATGCTTTGGCAGTGCACCAAATTCGCTCATTTATCGCACATCACCTCTGCCAGATGGGAGGCGGCAATCCGCAGCTCGTCCTTGGCAGATCAGCTCTGGGCTGTCCACCAAGCCCGCGAGGCGGCTGAGGAGCTTGGCATCTCAGTCCCCACGTGGGAGCTGCCCGCAACACAGTGATCTGTGTTTTGGAGGACCAAATAAAAGTTTATCCAATCCAATCGGTGTCAGTAACGCGCCTTATACCCCCTCCCCCTTCGCTCGTTCCTCCGCTTTCCTCGCTCGCTGCAGCTGCGCGCGCACCCCTCTCTTTCGCGCGCCCGCCTTCTCTCTCAGTCTCCCTCGATGAAGCGATATCTGCAGAGCCAAATCACGTGAATTGTACCACCAGTGAATGTGGACTGTCTATAGACTGTCTAAATTTGTCCCCAAACAATAATATACACTGTCGAAATTCATTTTCGTGAGAAATAGCGCTCGCATTTTCAGTGTAAAATATAAAAACTCTTTTATAGTCTACGTGGAGCTCTTTCAAAAAGTACGCAGCTTACACCAGTAACATATTCGTATTTTTGTTCGATTAATTTGTTGCGACTTGGCTTTTTCTAACGTGCGAGAAAGTCCCGCTTTTTTTAAATGTATACCTGAAACGCTAAGGAACGTATAAGTCTACATGAACGCTGATGGGTGCGCCCTCGTTACTTTTCACAGCTTTACGATACGCGTGCTGAATCTATTTCGCGTAAGGCTAACCTATAGTGCCTAGAAAAGTATATTCTAGGCACTGTAGCTAACCCCCGTATTCAGAAACGCTGCTTGACTTGAACTCTCCACCGACTTCAATGCAGCACAAACGCGCTGTTTTCAGGTGGTGCCAAGGCATTACAAACGCACAAACGTGTTTCAAATGCGCCGCATTGAAGGCGCTTTCAAGTTCAAAGTAGAGGAGCGTTTGTGAACACGGGGTTACATGTGCAGAAACTCCGCCCCCGTTGCTTTCCCTTCAATTCCAAGAAAAGTTGTCGCAGAGTAAACCATTATTTTGGCGACATCCTGTGTCGTCTGAGGAAAATTATGTCCACATGTTTCGGAATCCGTTTCGTTACCAGCTTCCCTCCATAACACGTTCGAGTCAACCCTGCTTCTCGAACGCGGCTCAGCTAGAGAGGCACCAAATTTCAGGCACGATGTGATATATAGGGTGCGCAAAGAGCTCACGCAATTAGCACACACGTAAGCACAAACGCAATTAGCGCACACGTAAGCACACTCTTGAAGCGTGGCAATAGCGAAAGGAAATCGCACAGTCCCCGAAAATGGCAGTTAACGATTCATGTATAAAGTGCCCGTGAGGTTCAGTGGAACGACGAATAATCATGCTAATGAAGCGACAAAAATAGAATGATCTGTAGCAAAACGATATCACTTAGCCGAAAATGCAGACATTCGGGCCGGCGCATTATGCAGCCTTCGCGATACGTGAATCACAGACGGTGAACCTGTAAAAGCGAATGCTTTGTAAAGTTGCTCCACATCGGATCATTAGGGAGGTAATTTCCAATATATAGGTGTAGTTTGAATAGACTGTTTCGAGATCGCAAGCGTTGTATACTCCAAAAACTTTCCGGCCACCTCATTTTACCAGCTCCTAACGCCGAAACTAATAGCATGTCTTCCTTTTTTTTTTCAAGGAAATATTTCTGCAGTTTTTTAGATAAAAAAAAAAAACGTGCGTAAGGTTAAACGAAATATATTCAATTTTTATGTAGCTCAAAAGAACATTTGGTTGAAAACATTTTACCAAGTAAGCGAAGGAAACCAGAAAATTGCGGACTATTTTCTAGAACTCTTCTTGCCCACCGATGCTATTAAGGCACATTGGTTGACGAAACCGGATGCCATCAAGGGCCTGTGTTAATAAACAGTAGAAGGGTCTATAGCATTTGCAATTCGATTTCATTCGATTCAATGCATCGCCGTTGTGATGCAAGTGGCAATATGCATATTTGAAATATCCAGCTAATCGAATTATTTATTAAGGGCCAATAAAATTTTTAAAATGCTTAGATGACCTTAACCTGGCACAAACGCATAGGCGACAAGAACACGTAGGTGAGAGCCATGCTCGATACTTAACACCAGAGTTCGTTCTTCTCGGTGGTCAGGTTTGCAGTCGCGTAATAAATTTCGTGTGGCGCTTAGATTTTTCTTTCAAATGTGAAGCCGAAAACCTATTTGTAACATTTATTCTTATTGGCTTGCAGGAGAGTTTGCGATTGAAATGTATCGCATTAGTAGGTAAATATTAATGATTCAACTGGTATACTCTATAAAGTTTCGAAAAGGCATGTACGCAGAAACAATGATGAAAAATAGGCCGCTGACCCGTTAGGTGGCCTGGTCTGTGGTGCCATTTTGAAAAGACTTGGAACAATGCAACGCACTCGCTAATGCATGGATTCGCTCCCGAGAGTATATTCTCGTAAAGAATAAGAAAAAAAGGCTGTCCTGACAGATATTACCATACCATCTCGGCGATCTATGTTGTGCTACCAAACCAAATGCTTGGGCTAGAAAACTCCGTATCCAATGCATTCACTGCTTCGTTATATCGTGAATTTCTTTCAAGAGATTTGTTTCTTTTTGTATTCTTGTTCTCATTTGCTGTATTAACTAGGTTTGTATTTTGCAGGTATTCGCTGGATCCCTTTTATAGTTCTCGAAAGCAGCTGCATTCGCAAATAAGCTCTACAGCAACTTGCAGATATTAAAGGTGAGATGCGTAAGACCTGAAACCGCATAATCAATAAGAATAGAATCTCATTCAAGCGTGACCTCATGGTTTGACTAGCGCTTATCTAGTGCATCGATTCAGTAGCGAAGCATAGTAAATATTCTTGTGAAGAAATGGTGACTGCGTCACACGTCTGCCGCTTGTCTCAGTGGGGCTAGCTACGGTCAAGTGATGAGAGCTGGTCATCACGTCCATAGATCCACAAGTCAGAGTGCAAGTTTCCTTGCAAGACTCGTGCAAGTGTCGCTGCTGCTGCGGTGGCGTAGCCTGCAAACAGATTCTCGGCTTAGTCTGCTTAGCGACGTTGTGGCGCCTCCACCTCCAACCAAACAACTGCGTAAGGCTGCCCAGTGACGTTGAAGTCTGGTCGAAGCACGAGGTGGCCTGTCTGATGCGCGTCCGTATATCAACCTGTGCCTGCCAATACCCCGCCGTCGTTTCTCGTCACAATGCACTTTTGCAGCACTAAACTATCTGACTAAGTAGGCACTGGTCTGCAAACTCATTCATGATTCGACTCTCTTACTCGGCGGCGACTCGCTCAGTGGTGGCTGTGAGAGTCGCTGAAAGAAAATGTGGAACTGTTACGTTTAAAAGAAATTCGAGCATTTAGCGGCACTGTATATGGTGCTCTCATTTGTTATGCGCCAGATAAAGAGCCACCATAACAGCCACCAATATACCACAGCGGTGATCTGCCTCATTGTCATGCGTTTGGTTAATTTAGGCATTAGAACATTGTCTATACTACGCCCTGTTTCTAGTAAAAAGTCTAAGCGAAGATAGAATTCACTAACCTTCGTTTTATTTCTCCGCAACTCGATGGGACTTGCACGCGAAATATTTAATTTGATTTATGGCATATATATATATATATATATATATATATATATATATATATACTTTTCGCTCACCTGTTTTTTTTCTTAAGTTAAGGAGGCGTGCTAGGCCAGGGTTGGTAAAGGGGGATCTGTCAACTTCCCATTTTCTGTTCAGCCTGTCGCGCCTACCACGACTACCTCGAAGTAGTGCTCATATGAAGAGAGCCGGCAAACTTCCTGCTTATAGTTAGCGTTGTTGTGTAGTTTCAGTGTCAGTATTGTTTTGTACCACACATTATTTGCAGGTGTGTCTGTTAGGGGGTATACGTTGTGCGTAACCTGTTTGAATGAGACAAAGTGGAACATGTGGAAAACGAGCAATCCATCACTCAATCAAGTCAATCTCATTCAATCCTTGTTTGGCTTTGTTTGAAACCTTGAAAGCTTCCTTTTGCGTTGTGCTAAAAAAATGTCATTATAGGAATATTTTATTGTTTGGATGAAGTCTTCGATCAACCATTCAATCAGTATTACAAGCAAAATTAAGGGGGAGTTTTTACGGCTATAAACCACATGCTGGCGGATCCCCTGATAATCAATTTCGACATGTTGCATGCGACAAATAGAGCGTCGATGATATCGGTGTTCAGTGCTCACATGTCTTCGCGAATATCCACGGATGGTTCGTTTGCTTTAGCCTACGTATCATGTGCAGGTTCTCCCTCACATTTTCATCGTTGTCTTGGCACGAGGCTGCCCAGTGACGTTCAGTCGGGCGACGCCTTGTGCACGAGACTTTAGGTAAGCCAGTCCACACAGAACGAGCCGCGCGATAGGCTTCTTTGAATGCAGCTTTCATTCAGTCGCCCCACATTGCCCCATAAGTATCCTTTCTGTAGCTATATATGTATCGTAAAAAGCTCAATATGATCCAATGTCTATCGACAGATGCTTTTGTCAAAGATGTGTCACATGAACTATTCCAGTGCGGAACACACATTAAAATAAGTTAGTAGTTGATGTCGCTATAATTTACCCTTTAGGACTCTATGTACACAGTTCTGTACACCACTCCTTTTAGCTATTTGTATCAAGTATAGTCTATGAAAGGGCAATATATGATCTACTTTTGATAAATTGAACCTCGCGCACAATAAATATGTCCACAGTTGACCTCATTTTTCAGTATACCGATACATATGATCATTCTTCTGAAGGCACTACCATGCTCGGCGAGTCGTGCGATGTGCCATATCCTGCGAGCAACGAGAAAATAATTTCTTTTTGTTCAAAATTAACATAACCCTAATGAATTTATAGAATGATTCTTAGCATTAGATTTTGTTCTATTTACTGCAAAAATAAGTATCCATGACTTCAAGGTAGATATTTAACCCCGCCACGGTGGTTTAGTGGCTAAGGTACTCTGCTGCTGACCCGCAGGTTGCGGGATCGAATCCCGGCTGCGACGGCTGTATTTCCGATGTAGATGGAAATATTGCAATCTCATGTGCTCAGATAAAAGAACGGCTATTTGGGCTAGTTGGTTAGAATCCATGGTCATAAGGACTGCCGCGCGAGCACGAAGGATTTAGAAGAAACGTGAAACGAAAGGCGAGGCAAGGAAAGCAAAGAGGACAACACGAGCGTTTCACGTTTCTTCTAGCACCTTCGTGCTCGCGCTGCAGCCCTTATCACCATGCTCAGATTAGGGTGCACGTTAAAGAACCCCAGGTGGACAAAATTTCCGGAGCTCTCCACTATGGCGTCTCTCATAATGATATGGCGGTTTTGGTAAAGTGTTAGAGTGGACTAGTTGGTAATCCATTATTAAACTTTTCAGCGCAAAAACTTCCTACAACTAACACAAGCGCTCGTTCTCGTCGCTTGTGTTTAATGGTGGTTTTGGAACGTTGAACCCCATATATCAACAAATCGAATATTTAATTGCAACTTAACATGAGTTGTTATAACACTCGTAAATTCCAGAATTACCTTTTTATTCTTGCAATAGAACATTGAGTGCCTTGAAGTAATGGTTGTAATGATTTGACGCATTTGCAGGCAGTTCTTCATAGGTCGCCTCTGAAAGGGTTAACGGAACCACATGGGTCCTTAACATGCATATTTATACGACAGTCCCGTGAAGTTGTTGCATCGAAGTACGTTTGTGCAGAAAACACTGGTGTTGGCGTTGGTGGCTGCCTGACCACGATGCCTTCTGCTGCGCAACTCCCGTCGTGGGCGGGGCTGCCGAAACCACAAACGAAATCACAGGTTAGGAGACTTTCCCCATTGCTGTGTTGGCCTTGCCGAATAGATGGCACAGAGTTAAACTGCACGCACCATTCATAAAATGGTCTTGATCTCGTGTTACGCCTTGCTCTGTGAGCTGCATAGTTTCGACTCCACAGCTTGCCATGGCCTGCCGAAACTGACCGATGCCACTGACCGTAGAAATGCATATTGCACCTCTGCCGAGAAGCTTTAGAGTATCAGACATCAATGAAACTGCAGTTCTATAAGTGTAGCAAGAACCTTACATTGTACTTTGCATAACAACGTTGTAGCAGTGTACGCCAAAAACCCCATTCGAAGAATTTCGCATTCAGTCGCTGCTAGAGAGACTTTTACCTCCTTGTTAATAACACGCTACTAAATGATCTACGCATCGCACGATTAAGTAGGAACTATATGGGCAATGTTACAAAAACCAAATGATCACAAAATAACAAATCATGAGAGGTTACTTGTTAATTGTGATAGTTCCTGAGTAAATTTGTTCGCTTTTATGGACAGCTCGTACTCACGTACAGGCCTTGCTTTCGACACTTGAAAAAAGCCTTCTTTATTGAGGGGCTGTACTCTTAAGCCAGTGTCCTGTATAGAGTTGCGCACTGACCCTACTTCGTTTTAACAATTTTCCTTTGTTTTATCACATTCATTGCGTCACCAGTTTGGTGATATGCAAAACTTAAACACCTAGATAGTGCGCAATACACTGCGCGATATGCAAAATTCAAATATCCAGATTGTGTGCGATATGTAAATTTGAAATAACCAGCTCGTGCACTATGCCAAATTGATATATCCAGCCGCCGAGATGCGTTAATATAAAGCCAGCTCCGGCAAAGTGTAAAATTGAAATGTCCAGCTGGTACGTACATATAAAATCTTGCTAGTGCTGCTATGATTTATTGCAAGATAGTATGCATTCAATCTTAATCATGCGACGTGAACTGAATTAATGGGCAGAACGAGGGGCCGAGGGTGTGTCAATGTTGGCAGTCGGTACTCTTGGTATGCCTGGTATTAGCATCCATGACCATTTACCGCCAAAATTACGTTAGGCGCTGTAATATTTTGGACGTTATAGTGAGCACGTAGAAGTTTGAATGACATTCGTATAAATTTTGTATTGAATGCCTGAGCTAAGTAGCTTTTGCATTTCTTCTTGTACAGAAATCAAAGTGCAATCATAACTGCCAACAGTGTTCTGCTTCAGTGTTCTGCCAAGTGGCCATACCCGTAGGGCCTTTTTTTTTAGCATTATAGAATTTTCAATCAAATCCCACTACACAAAACTTCACAGGCACGTGGCGCTGTGTGTCTGCATAGCTTCTGAGTAGGACGTCTGTCATCCTGAAGCAGCAGTACAGAGTTATGTGTTTCGTGTTGTAGAAGACATTTGGAATGTTGACATTGATCAAACGCTCAAGGAGGGCAACGCCACAACTCTGAGGAAGCGATGCGTTCACGTTGGCAGTTAGGGCATGTAGCATGTTTAGCCTTCAGTTTGTAGCCTTCAGTTTGTAACCAAAGTACAAGACTGCAACGGGACCGAGGGTCCCGTTGCAGTCTTGTACTTTGGGACCCTCGTCTGTATATTTTACTCCCTGTAATATCCTTTTATGACATGATAATAAACTGATTGATTGATTGATTGATTGGTACCTTCTGCATTGTGCGACTAGAGATTGATTTTTATCGAGTGATTGATAGATTATTCAATTTGATATGTGCAGAACAAACGCTTGCTGAAGAGCACGACATTGTCCTGGCGTGAGTGTGTGCAGTGGCGTGCAGCCAGAAGGCATCGGTGTCGTGGCCCAAGCCTGCTCAATGACGTTCGAGGCGACGCCTCATCTTTGAAACAGTGTAAGCCTGTTATCGTGGAGAGTCGTGCAATTGGCTGATTAAATTGCAGCACTCGTTAGGTTACGTGTAAAAACGTGCGATAAGTATGAGCGCTGTAGATTACAACATGGTTATTTGAAAATTAAGAAACAAATTTGCAGAACCCACGTAAATGGACAGTTTGCAGTAATCTGCAAGGCGGATTTTCCGGAAGGTTTGTTTTCCAACCGAAAACTCTCGTTCACAGACTGATTTTATCGCTCATTGTGGTTTTGCCTTTTTACTTTTTGACATCTTGTTGTGCTCGTGTGCCTTCGCTTGAATTCGGAGAGGTAAAAGCGCAATGAGTGGTAAAAGCAGTCTGTGAACGAGTTTTTGGTTAGAAAACAAGCCTTACAGGAAAGCCACCTTGCAGATTATTGCAAACTGTCAGTTGGGAAATACTGATATGCGAAGCACGAATGAGGAAGGTTGATATGCATGAAGTTTATTTTTACTGCACAATTACAGATTGACATCGATTTTCTTTTGTAGTCACAACCAAGGTATAATGTGTCTTATGGAATGTGGGACAAAAGCTGCGATACAATTGCATCTTGACTAGCCCCACATCCCAACAAACAAAGCAGAAAAAGTGAGGGAATTCATGAGGGCAACTAAAACAGTAAACAGAAATCAGACCGGCAATTTAAAACTGGCACAACATTACGAGGTGGAGGTAAATTATGCCGTACATGACTCACAAGTCATGATTATCATGTTTGGGCGTATAATTTATTTTCGTAATCCATTCACGTCTCCTGATACCAAATTTAGCACATTGTAGGGTGCGTGGTATATGCCTGCGTGGAGCTTGCGAAACGACCGCGAGCCTGCTATGAGGGTATCATGTAGTAAAGTTTTACATGATACGCATGCCATCATTATCATGTTTGTACGCGTCATTTACCCTCTTCAATTCACGTCACGCAATATCAACTTTAAGCTAGCAAAACGGCCTCGAGCGTGCTATGAGCGTAGCATGTAATGTTCTTAATGTGACTCGTATCATGATTATCATATTTGCACCAGTCACATACCTTCAGCATCATTTCGCGTCCCGTAATACTAAATTCGGTACATGTGAAGCTAGCGAAACGGCCGCGAGCACATCATGCGCGTGGCATGTAGTCATGACTTTACATAACCCGCATCTTATGATTATCATGTTATCATTAATCACACACCTTCGTCATCCATTGGCGTCCCTAATACCAAATGTGGTATATGTGAAGTCAGCGAAACGGTCGCGAGGGCAACAGGAGTGTGGCATGTAGCCAAATTGTTACATTACACGCAAGTAATGATTTTCATGTTAGTCCGTCGCTTGGCTTCGCCATGCAGTCGTGCCATACCGTACCAGTTTTGGGAGACGTCATGTGAACGAAACCACCGCAAAAGCAGCAAGACCACGAATTGTAAATCATGACATACATGTTATGATTTTCATGTTATGACTAGTCACTTATGCTCGTCATACACTCATGTTAAGCCATACCAGTTTTGGTATCGATATCATTATCGAAACGGTCAGGAGAGCTAAAAGTCATAGGCGGCTAGATAGATAAAAATATGCTCAACGTCGCCTAAGTTCGCTAAGAAATGCTTCGCATTTAATGCATCCAGGCAAATCAAGGCCCACCACATCACATGACCCCGCGTCTGTTCCCTTCTTATCTGGAATCTGGGTAGCGTTTCTTGATTGGACGAGAGTTAGTGTGCTGGATACTATTTCAGACAAGGGCCACAGTTCCACACACATCACACAATTTATGATTTGGAACAGCTCATCTGCGCTTTCTAATATGTCTAGAGTGAGTAGTACCAGCCGATGAATAAGAAAGTTTTGTGCATTCATTCTCAGCGAACAGTGAACCAGGTGTTAATTGTGCGTGAAGAAGCTGCTCGTGTCGTGTGTATAAGCGTTTTAATGCCGGGGTATTCATTGCTGTGGAAATTTTCTAATGCAGGAAAACATGTGATACACACCCGTGTGGTACCCATGACATCGCCGAGGTTGAAATCGTGAGCCGCAGGCCGCATATCTGGCCATCTGCGTGGTGAGGGGTTAAGGTACTCAGTGCCGATGACTAGGGACCTTTTGAGCAGACATGACTTGACGAGGGATGTACGCCAAGGCGGCGACACCGAGAATTATTTCGTATTGGGTGGGCAGCTGACGGCGAAGCTTTTAAAGTATAAGAAGATGGTAGTCATTTTAGGAGCGAAGCTCCTTACGATGCGAGTCTTTCCTTTCTCTGTTGGTGTATGTAGCCACTTTGCAAACATCCCACAACACCCCATCACCGATCAACCCCTTCAGCGAACAAAAAGCCAATACTGTTGATAGCATCTAATATAAAATGCAAGATCGTCGTGTACTTTTATCGAGGTGCCCGTTAAAGAACCATGGATTTTCCTCCTGCTTTTAGTTCCACCTTTGCACACTGCCCTCTACTTCGTCCTCGCAAACATCCCGCAACGCCCTATTACCGATCCGTCACTTCACCGACCATAAAGCCGTTTTAATGAAGGGGGAATGAAGGCGACCAATAATAAAATATCTGTATAAATATACACAGTTTGTCACGTCTTTGAAGCTGAGGGGGCGATGTTCGCGGATGATTCACTTTAGCAGTTAAACCCTCCAGTGCTTCGTCCCCCTCAACATCATTCACTCTGTGGATATGCCAATTTTTTTTGGCAGAATATTTCGAAATTGCGGCTCTAGTAACCATGACTGCGATTACTTAGTTTAATCATTGCACTTTGCTGCTCTTAGTTTAACATAGATCTTTATGATATCATAAAATTCATTCATAGTTGATATCAGAACGTTGCGATGCACTGAATCTTGGCTTCCGAAGTGTTAGGAATTTTTGTGTGTTCAAAGTTCTATAAGGCTCTTCGTCAGGAGCTTGTTTTCACGCTGCCAATTTTAGTATGCAATATGCTCTTTCGCATGCGGCTTGTAACGTTGGGGCCTTCTGCATTTTGCTACTAAATATTGATTTTTTTATCGATTTCTTGATAGCCTGAATAATGTTATATGTGCGGAATAAATTATTACTGAAGACCACGACATTGTCTTGGCACGAGTC